TGCTCGTTGACCCGATCTATCTAAAAGATTAACCGAGCCAAGAGGAGCCTAATCCTTTCGACTCCCACGAACTCATTTCGTGAGCTTCTTTTTCCAAACGAGATTTCTGGATGAGATGATCTAGGTTTAACCTCGAGGGGTTTCCCCGAGTTTCCTAAACCGGTTTCCCGGGCTCATTATCCCAATCCACGAATGGCTCGGAATAAGAGGAGCCTAATCCGTACTTCCTCGCGAACTCACTTTTTCTTTTTCTTTTTTTTTTTCTTTTTAGGGAGAGGCACACAAGGATACATCACAATTACAATACATAAGCATCTCAACTCGATCGAAATGTACCACAAGTGTATAGATAACACGTTTACAACGATAATCGAACATAAGGTGAGCATGCCTCAAGACAACCAATCGAGAACAAACCAAGGACAAAACAATTCCGTTAATCCATATGCGAGTTCCAATGTCAACGAATCATCAATCAATCAAAGGAAACCGTCAAATTCATCAAGTACATCAAGCATGAATGCTAATAGTGAAACCAATCAATAATCTCGACTCACCACTTAGCTATCTCGACTCTCGAACAAACATCAAGTTTCATGCGGGAGAGATGACGCAAACACACACAAACTCAAATAAAACCGGTCCAAGACACAACAAAAACGAAAAATAAAGCACAAAAATGAAGAGAATATCACCTAAACATGCATAATCACGAAATCCCTCCCCCACACTTAAAACAAAGCAATGTCCTCATTGCTTGACCCAAAAAGTATAGGAGAAGGCACATAATCACTTACGTTCATGCGATAAAAATGAAGACGAGACACAAGGACAAACAAACAAGACAAAACAAAATCACACAAAGACACACAAGAAGCAAATAGAGAAGGAGAAAATAGGAAAAGAAAATGCGTACTCGACACGGTGGTCGTCACCACCGTGTGTCCAATAGTGGTCGTCCGGAAGGAATAGAGAAGGTCAACCGAAGACCATAGAGCGTGAATTTTGAGCCATCTGAACGGTTTAACGTTGGAGCATTTGAAGCGAGAGAGGCTATGTGTGTGTGTCTCGGAGAGATAGTAACCATGAATGCA